AATCTTACACGTCTTCTTGCCTAGCCCCCATCCGCCAAATTTGTACCATCCGGTAAATAACTTCGTTTCAAAAACTGCGGTTGCCAACCCGCCAACCAAGCGTGGCAACTTGGCAAAATCAGGGGGCATTTTGCCAAGTTGCGAGGCAAATTACGGGGGAAGTCTATGTTCAGCGGCGGACTTTTATATGCTGTAATGCCAACCATTACAGCTTATACAGCCACAGCTTACACCGGTGGATAGCATTCAGACTCAATGACAGTGGCGTAGCGTGCCTTAGATGGGCCCTGTATCAAAATTTGTTGGGGGGCCCCAATGAAGAGTAAAGATTTCATAAAAGGAACAAAAACGCTTGCATTGAATTCAAATTATTATATATTGATTTTAAGTTATTCATCATCATCATTACAGTCCTTCACAAGTCCACTGCTGAACATACGCCTCCCCCAAGGAATGCCACAAAGCACGGTCCTGAGTCACCTGCATCCATCGACTTCCTGCATATCTTACCAGGTCGTCACTCCATATAGTGGGGAGACGCCCTACACTTCGTCCGCCGGTACGAGGCCACCACTCGAGAACCTTTTTTCCCCATCGGTTGTCGGTTCTTCGAGCTATATGGCCGGCCCATTGCCACTTCAGCTTACTAATCCTTTGGGCTATGTCGATCACTCTGGTTCTACTGCAGATATCCTCATTTCTAAGTTTATCACGCAGACAAACTTCGAGCCCTCTCCATAGCTCACTGAGCGACCTTGTGCTTCCTCTTCCGGCCAGCAGTGAAGGACCGCGTCACAGAACCATAGGCCACACGCACTGGTTGTACAGTCTCGTTTTCAAGTTTTGAGGTATACCTGACGAGAAGATGTGCCGTAATTTCCCAAACGCTGCCCAGCCGAATTGAATCCGTCGATTGTTCTCTCAGTCGAATTTGGACTTACCTAGTCGGACTATTTGTCCCAGGTAAACATACTCGTCAACAATTTCGAGCTTAGTGCTCCCAACAAATACCGGCATAGGTGTGACATGGACATTAAACATGATCTTTGTTTTGTCCATGTTCATCTTAAGACCTATCCGTTAGGAAACACTATCGAGGTCATTAAGCATAGTGCTTAGGTCCTCCAGCGATTCTGCCATAAGGACTATATCGTCGGCAAATCAAAGGTGAGTGATGTATTCGTCATTGATGTTAATACCGTATACTTTCCAGTCCAGAAGCTTGAAAACGTCTTCCAATGCAGCGGTGAAGAGTTTCGGGGATATAACATCACCCTGTCTTACACCTCTCTGTAATTGGAAAGGTTTCGTACTCTGGTTTTGTACTCGGATAGTCATCGTAGCCCTACTGTACAAGCACTTCAGCACTCCGATATACCGACAGTCAACTTGGCATCGCTGAAGGGACTGCAGCACTGCCCAAATTTAGACGTAATCAAAGGCTTTCTCATAGTCCACATACGCCAGACATAGTGGCAAATTGTACTCCTAGGATTTCTGTACAATTTGCCGAAGGGTGTGTATGTGGTCTATGGTGCTAAAGCCTTTTCGGAAACCGGCTTGTTCGGGAGGCTGGAAGTCGTCAAGTCTGCGCGCGAGACGATTCGTAATGACTCTCGAAAACAGAACGTAGACGCGGCTCAGAAAGGAAATCGGTCTGTAGTTCTTCAAGAGAACGTTGTCACCTTTCTTGAAGAACAAGACCACCGCACTTCTGCTCCACGCCCCCGGTGTAATGCCACCATGGAGGACTTCAAGTACCGGTTTTCCACCCGCTTTCAGAAGCTCCGCTGTAATTCCATCCTCGCCTGGGGCCTTGCCTTTTTTAAGGTGCTGGAGAGCCATTCTAATCTCGCTCAGACTGACGTCCGGTATATCATCGGAATAGTGTCGGATAAAACTCGCTCTTGGATCGTTACTCACACTTACGTGTGGCTCCAAGGATGATATGTACAGCTACCCATAGAACCTCTCAATCTCACTCATAATCTCAGGTGTCCCGGAAACGACGCTGCCACACTCGGTCCTCAGCTTCGACAGTTGGCTCTTTCTGGCAGACAGATCTCTAGCAAAGACTTTTGTGTCCTGGTTCCACCCGCTTCTTTAATACGAGCAGTATTAAGGTTGCGTAAGTCCCACCGCATGCATTAGGATATCTGTCTGTTCAGTTGCCTGTATGCTGTCAAATCTGCAGCTTCTACTGAAGACTGCAGCTTCATATCCCGTCTAACAGCCATGAGATCAAGAGTGTAATCGGAGATTTTTTGTGTTCTTCTGCGGCGGATCTTGCAAAACTTAGCTCCGACCGCATGGACAGTTTCCACGAGCTTGTCATTCATATCGTCCACTGCATTGCAATCTTCTAGGCACTGAAAACTGTTTCGTAGCTCGAACTGAAAGGTTGCGGGACATTGGATTAGAGCACGAGGGACGAAGCGTTGACTTCATCAGACGTGACCTCTCCAACTCAACGGTTAGGTTCAGTGTGCCTCTCACCATTCGGTGATCGCTACCGGTTTCAGTCACTAAACAGTTGTCGTCTGGTCGTCATAATGAAGTCAATCTCATTTTTTGTCGAACCGTCGGGGTCGACCAGGTCCACTTCCTGTGGGGCTGCTTCTGGACGAAAGAGTTCATCATAAAGAGTCCCTCTTTCACCATGAAGTCGGCCAGCTGCTGGCCCCTTGGTGTCCGTTGCCCTATTCCGGAAATTCCCTACTTTCAGCTCACCGTTCTCTCTTGTGCCTAGTTTTGCGTTGAAGTCTCCCATTAACACCGTATAGTAGGTTTTGGAGGAATGCATGGCTCTAGAGATATCCTCATACATGTCCTCCACCTCCTCATCGGGGTGTTCCGAGGTTGGTGCGTAAACCTTTATGACCTTCAGCGAATACCATTTGGTGATTCTGAGTATAAGGTACGCAACACTCGTCGACACACTCCCAATCTTTACAACGTTGTTAACAAGAGACTTGTGGACGATAAATCCGACAACTCCTTGGGACAGATGGTCGCCCTCCTGGTGATAGAACAAATTGCCGGATTCGAGGATTACCGTGTCCTCCCCTTCTCGTCGGACTTCGGATAATCCTATGACATTCCAGCGCAACTGGTCTATCTCTTCTTTCAGCTCCACAATCTTCTCGTCAGTCCTCAGGGAGCGTGCTTTATAAGTTGCCAGGTCGAGTCGTCGTAGGTGGCAACAGAACCTCCACCGGAGATTCTTAGCACCTCCTGCCCCGCCGTTACCATGGTCGCCACCGTAGCCAGGAATAGCGGGGCCGCCGGGGACTGGGGGCCATCTTTTCGTTACTTTCATGGGGGGTATATTGCAATAGTTGCCACGCTTGGCGAGCGGGCTGGCAACCGCAGTTTTTTTATTGTTGTTTTTCTGTTATCAGAAAGATGCTGCTGCCCATCCTCTGCCTCAGTTTCCCTCTGTCGCCTTTTTCGCCACCCACGGGAAGATATAGGGTAGTGAGTTTTCTCCACTGCCACCCGTGCCACTACACGGGTTTTTGAGTTATTACTTACAATTAATACTCCTAGGAACTAAGCTAGCCAAACAATTCAAATCAAATATACACTTTTCGTGCCTTTTGTTCGGCGAACACAGCTGAAGAAGATTCGGCTGCATTCATAGCTGAAAACGATTTCAGTTTTACTAAATTCTTTACTTCTATAGACAATAGTGATAGCCTTTCCTGTCCCATAGAAGTCCTTGGAATTTTTGCTCACACACGTTTGGGGCCCCTGTAGCCCGGGGGCCCCGTATCATTGATACGGCTGATACGGCGCTAGCTACGCCCCTGCTCAATGATGAAGTTAAGGATCTCAAATTAGAAAACATCTTTTTAGTTCGAGTAATTTTGTATGTTTAATTTGGCTTTGTACAAGTCAAACTTAAAAGAAATGTCATTGTCATCCCTAAAACGCGGTGATTATTTTACGATCTTTGATTTTTTCATAAAGAATTACTTATTAGATGTATTTTCATTACAACTGCTGTCAGGGCCCGATTCACCCACAGGCTAAATAGGCTGAAGCCTAGGGCGCAAAGGTTCGAGAGGGCGCTGAGGTTTCCTATGTGCTTACATACAGCACTCGCACTTATGTACAGAATAAAATTTGGTATAATATTCTTAACAAATGATAGAGTAAGTACCGTAAGTATTTTACTTTTTGCTCTTTCTTTATTTTTGGTACAAAACAGTCGATTGTAATAAGTATTTCGCTGCTCAAGCTCTCTTCTCTACCTCTAATTTTACTAAGGTATTATACCAAGGCCGTCCAAGGGAATTTATGCCACCCATCTATTCCATCTCTGGGCAGGGAGAACGACTCACTGGCCCATGCCGCAAAGGAGAAAGTCAAACTTTTAGGGTTTTCTTTTTGTTCTCCAAAATAATGGAATCCATTATAAACTGCCAGCACATAAGGTACCTTGAGGACCACCAAATGTTTAATGGTAGTCACCACTAATCAGGCTGCGTGCTATCACCTACGCTGTTTCTGCTTTATATCAATTATATTATGTGTTTACTTAAAAACACACAGCGTCGATATGAAGAATGTTTTGTGAACATACCTTTTATTCCCACGATGTTGGTAACTTGATTTATAGTACCTGCTTGTCACCGGAGAGGGCGCCACTTTCTTTACCATAAATGTTTTTTGTGAAAGTATGGCACCACTGTAGAACTGTCAACTAGTCATAGCGTTTTGTGATTTTCCCGCGTGAATGCTAGAAAAAAAATTCTCTTGCTAAAAAAGTGAGCAAGTTAAGAGTTAAAGTGAGTAAATTACGGAATTTTACGTTTATAATTACTCGGAAGTAGATCCGAAGAAAAGTTTCATAGCGAGATGGAAAAAGTAGACGATTCTTTAATGGAAAATCAGAGTGAGGAGTCTCCGCATCAGAACTCGTCTTCTCGCGGAGAGAATCTGGATTTATCGTCGGATGGAGACAGTCCGCTGTCTCCATCCGACGATAAATCCAGATTCTCTCGACTCGGACTGACAGAAAATCAGACTCGGAGTCTGAAAGTGAGTCCTCACGTCCTCCAAATAAAAGAATTAAAACCAATGACGTAAATTCGGACCCGCGGTTCGAAGCACTAATACACCAAGTAAGTCACCTTACTAATTGTCTTCAATATTATTTGCCTATAAATACAGCATTGCCTTCTACATCAAATACATTATTGCCTTCTACGTCGAAGGCATGCCCTACTGACAGTTCCGAATTCTTAGTAAAGCCAAATTCAAATCAGCTCAATTTAGGTGAGGTCTTCACTGTTACTGACAATAACAAAGTAATAAAGAATGCATCGCAAAGTCGTTTGGAATCCTTAGTAAAATTACAACACTTTGGAACTGAGGAGTGGAAAGAGGTAAAATATTCTAAGGTCTTACAAAATTTTTTAGCCAAACCAGGTTTTATCGAACTAAAGATTAATGATGAATTGTGTCACCTGAATAAGGGAAAAGACTACTTAGCAAACACAGAAAAAACTTTGGCTGGTCTTACAAATGGCTTGTTAGAACACAAGGAAATTGTACGGAGCAATTTACAAGAGATTGTAAATTGGTCAAATAACTCGTCAAGTGATTTGACACCAGAAAATCTGTTTAATAAGATTATGACAGTGTTTGGACCTAACACTCAATATTATAAGAATATGGAACAAATTGTACAAGTTGTCTGTGGGAAGAGAACAGAGTGCATAGAAATAAGACGAGAACGCATTTTATCAGAGATCTCAAATAAAAACCTACAAGCTACTCTCAGAAAGCTGCCTCCAAGTGCAGAACACCTTTTCGAGCATAATAGTTTATTACCGGTGATACAATCTCTAGGAGGGACAAGTGTGTGGCTTAATATGCCAACTTATTTGAAAGAAAATAAAATACCTAAGAAACGACAATATGAACCTGCAACTGCAACTTCAATATATCACCAATCTTCACAGGGGAACCGTAGCACTGCATACCGTGGTAACAAAAAAAATAGTAATAAAAAATTTAAGAAAGAACAAAGAGGTAGTAACAGTTCCTTTCGCCCCAAAGAAAAAAAATGACTATCGACAGGTATTCAAAGGGGGCTGCTTGAAGAATCATTTGCAAGCATGGGAAGCACTGGGAGCAACCGACTTTATAATGAAAATAATTTCTGGAGCTCGTATCCCTTTCTCAAACAAACCCCCTCTAAATTACCCTTCAGCTACTATAAAAAGACTATACAAGACCAAAGAGTCACAGGAAATGACAAAAATAATTATAGACTTAAAGAAACAACAAGTGTTGGAGAGACCAAAGTCTCCAAGTCCAAGCTTCCTTTCGAAGATGTTTATAATACCAAAGAACGATGGATCCTTCCGACCAGTCTTCGACCTGCGAGGACTCAACAGGTATGTCCATACCAAACATTTCCAACTGATATCCCATGCCTCAATACCAGAATTCCTTCAAAATGGGGACTGGATGGTGAAAATAGACATATCCAATGCCTATTTCCACATACCAATTGCAGAATCCCATCGTTGCTATCTCCGGATGATATACAACAACGAACTATTACAAATGAATTCGCTTCCTTTTGGCCTGGCATCTGCTCCTCGCACTTTTGCAGCGGTTACAAACTGGATCGCGGAGATCCTGCGAGACAAGGAAATTCGGGTTCTAGTCTATCTAGACGATTTCCTATTGGTTCACCAGGACCAAGCCAAGCTGGTCTCTCAGACTGCGGAAGTCGTGAGACTCTTGGAGTCTATGGGTTGGCAAATAAATTACCTAAAGTCTGTGCTGAAGCCAATGCAACAATTAGAGTATTTAGGAATAACTTGGAACACCAAGACAGACACAATGTATCTCTCGGAGAGAAAAATAAAAAATATAAAAACAGCAATTACAAAATTATTAAGCAAAAAGGCATGCAATCTAAAACAGGTGCAAAAAATTCTAGGACAACTGAACTTCGCCAGTTTTGTCATAAGAAGGGGTCGCCTGCACTGCCGCTACATTCAAATACTGCTAAATCGCTTCAAGCAAAATTTGAAAAACAAAAGAGTCCTGCCACCACAAGTACGACAGGACCTCAGGTGGTGGAGTCAGTCATTAGTGGGCAAGGCAGTTCTACATCAGCGACCATACACCCACTTCCTCACAACCGATGCGGCAGATACCGGTTGGGGGGCCCAGTTGAACGAGAAGATGATGTCAGGAGTCTGGACAAAAGATCAGATGAAATGGCACTCGAATTGGAAAGAGCTGTTCGCAGTATATGCGTCAATCCAGAAACAATCACACTGCCTACAGAATGCTCACATTCTAGTCCAGTCGGACAATCGAACCCTTGTGGCGTATATTCGGAACGACGGGGGGACCCACTCAATGAGTTTACTCAATCTGACGTGCAAGTTGTTGAGGCTGACCGACAGGAAAAACATTCTGCTATCAGCACACTACCTCCCGGGGAGGTACAACTGCACAGCCGATCACCTCTCACGGGGACGGCGACTGTCAGAATGGCATCTGCTGCCCGCTGTAACAAACCAATTGTTCCATCGTTGGGGAATCCCAGATGTCGATCTATTCGCGTCTGCAGAAACCGCCGTAGTCAGCAGATACGTCTCCTTAGACTGGAAAGACAATTTGGCAATATTCCCAAATGCCTTCAGTCAGGACTGGAATTTTCGGCTCGGGTGGATATTTCCTCCTCCCAGCTTGATCCCTCGAGTATTAGCTCAATTGAACCGTGCCAAGGGTCATTACATATTAATAGCTCCTCTATGGGAAAAGACCTTTTGGCTAGCAGATTTAAAAAATCGGGCACTGGAACCACCAGTGACAATAGAGAAAATTTCGGAGAATTTGGTAGACACCGCAACGGGTCTTCCTCCACCACAAGCAGACCAACTGAACCTTCAGGCCTGGTTAGTTGGAGGTGGGCAAAATCAATTAGTAGATGGTCAGAATCAGAAAAACAATTATTAAATTCTAGTTGGAGACCGTCAACATTAAGTACTTACTATCCAGCTATTAAACGATGGATAAAATGGTGTGACTTAAATAATGTTTCTTGCAATCTTCCACCACTTACACTTAGAAGAAAAATTAGCTTATAGCACCATTTTAGTGCATAAATCAGCAATATATAGTTTTTGTAAAATTGATCAAAATCAAGCTCAAGATAATTCATTGGTGCATCAAATTCTGAAAGCTATTGCCATGGCACAACCACCTAAAAGCAAAGCTCCTATATGGGATGTACAAATTGTTTTTGATTGGCTAGCAACGTCCAGCATTAAAAACACCATATTCGAAGTGTCTAGACGAACAGCAGCAATTCTTCTTCTAGCATCTGGTAGAAGAGTTCATGATCTCACATTGCTTAAAATATCAGAAGCAAATTTAAGATTCATTGATAACAAGGTAACCTTATGGCCAATATTTGGATCAAAGACAGACTCAGCGTGTCATAGGCAATCTGGATGGTCATTACTTAAGCATCCGAATCAGAAAGTATGCCCAGTATTATGGATAAGACGTTTAATTGACATAACCCAAGAGCGACGAAATGAACAAGAAGGATTGAATCATTTATTTATTACGATTATTGGTAAACCACGTCCAGCCTCGAGAACAGTGATTGGTGGCTGGATTAAAACAGTATTAAAGGATGCAGGGATTACAGCATCCCCAGGATCATTTAGATCAGCAGTGGCCTCTGCAAGTTGGGTAGAAGATCATCCAGTGGATGAAATACTGGCAAGACGAAACTGGAAAAGTGAGAATACTTTCAGAAAATTCTATTGTAAAGAGGTAGAAAAGAAATGTAAAAGGTCTGAATTACTTTTCAATAATTTTCAACCAGAGTAAATTGTTTAATTATAAAAATATAAATGTGTTGATTTATTTGAGAATTTATATAATTTACTGTTAAATAAATAATAGAAGTTTTCTTATTCTAATGTTACACATTTGTCTTGAATTATAGTTTATTACAATTTGTTGATTAATTAATAAACATTATTTCTTATCACATAGCGTTTTGTGTTTGTCACCAGAAGATATCAAACAGGTCTTCATATCGACGCTGTGTGTTTTTAAGTAAACACATAATATAATATTTTGAATTACAACAAAATAGTTATTATGTGTTGAAAGAAAAACACACAGCGTCGCAGGAATATCTTCCTGTTGAAGACACTATGACTAGTTGACAGTTCTACAGTGGTGCCATACTTTCACAAAAAACATTTATGGTAAAGAAAGTGGCGCCCTCTCCGGTGACAAGCAGGTACTATAAATCAAGTTACCAACATCGTGGGAATAAAAGGTATGTTCACAAAACATTCTTCATATCGACGCTGTGTGTTTTTCTTTCAACACATAATAACTATTTTGTTGTAATTCAAAATATTATATTATGTTGCTGTTACTGACTGTAACACTGGTGATGCTTATTTGTTCCGGCCGTGCTAATATTTCTCGGTAACACGTTATCGAGTATCGGAATTTTTTTGGTCAAATACGCAAACAATGTGGTAACTGTACTGAACCAACAGCTATACAGTTCAATAGACCGTTCAGGAAATTATTTTTACTAAATATATTGAAACCCACAAAGGTCGGTAATTGTGAAGATGACTTGAATGCTATCTTATTCAAAGTCAGTAATTATGTCAGTATGTCCAACGAGATGACAACGGAGAAAAAAAGTGAAGTATCCATCCAACCTATATTAAATGTAGGAACTACTGATTATAGATTTGAATTGCCGCAAAAAATGCTCTAGTATATATAACGGGCTATTTATTACGAAAGTGCATAGCAAAACATGGGTGTCATAAAATGATTGAGTATTTCAATAAGCAACAAGAACCTCGTAATCTTTCTACAGACACTTTATTTACATATTATAAAGAATATAATAAAAACAATACTTCAAGGCCAGCGGTAGGTCTGATAACACCACCAGAGTCAGTCATAAGCTTCGTGGAGGCACTTGAAAGGAGATTTAAGGATTATTTCATTCAAAATAAAAATCACTTATCTCAAAACATAGGGAAGAACTTGTTGGCCGCCATGTCCCAGGAAACCTTTGATATACCATGCCTATGCTTCGAAAAATTACGAATTTTCGCAATTGTTAGAAATAATAATAAAAATTATAAAAGAAATCGAAAAAGCCAAAAATATATAAGAATAAGCAATTTTTAAAGGTTAGTAGGTAATACTGATTATTGCGTACTGAAATACTAAGTATTGGTTAATTATTTAAGATTACCATTAACTGTCGTGCATATTTTGTTTTGTCGGAAGTTTTTATATTCCCCATTTGTAAAGATATTTAATAAAAGTTGATTTAAAATTGAACGTATCTTTCACTACTTAAATACATAACTTTACATTATATAACATATACCTACTATGTATTTTCTTTGGCACAAGTCTATAATATTCCATATCGGTTCGGTATCAACCTTAGCCTTACACGCTCCGGCTTAAGGTCACACCATGAAGCAAATACAAAGAGGAGACGTTGTAATTCAATTTCACTATGAAACAACGCGTGACAATTTGCGGGGTAAGGGGATGCAAAGCCCCGCCCACTACACTATCTACATCTACCGATAAATAGTAAAACTACTCGAATCTTTCCATATCAATGTTGCAATGTAGCTTAGCTACCTTGACGGTAGATGGCGGCATATCCACAAAATGTTATAAACTAAAAAATAATATTTTGGAGATTAAAATTCCTTTATATCTGAATGCAAAACAAATTTTAACACCGTATGATTATTTTATCATTACTGAGCTCTACGTACCTTTATATTTTAAGTTCACAGGACACAAAGTGTCGCCATCTAGTGTGGAATATATTTAATTATATTTGAAAGCCGACGCAAAGACATTTTTCTAGAACTATTTTAATAAATTAGGTGTAAAATTACTTACAAATGAAATTTGATAGCATCGGAGCGTCTATCTCATGAAGCAAATACATTCAGACAAAGAAATTTTAATCGCCAAAATAATATTTTTATAGTTCATAATAATTTTGGGAACAGGCCGCCATCTATTGTCAAGTAAACCTCATAAAAAGCTCCAAAAAGACAGGGCCGCAATTAGAATTCAATTATTTTACGGAGTAACTCAACATTCAGTATTAAAATGAAGGAAATTGTACTTGGCTGATTTTTACGAAATGTTTAAGTTATATTTAACTGACATTCTATATGCAAAGAATCACTTAAATACAATTTAAATATGTTTATCATTTCGTGAAAGTCAACCTTCAAAAAATATTTATTTTATCCATAAAAAACGGCTGGACTATTATTTATCTGTGGGTTATACTACTTAATATCTCTGAAGGAGAACAAATAATAGACAAATTATTATAATTAATATAATTTTATTTACAAATCAATTAAAATATAAATATTTTATTCCAAATTAGGCATCCGAATGGACTTTTTGAATGCCAATCTAAGAATATTAAATTGTATTTAAGTGATTCTTTGCATATAGAATGTCACTTAAATATAATTTAAACATTTTGCGAAAATCAGCCCAAGTACAATTTCCTTCATTTTAATATTGAAAGTTGGATTACTGAATAAAATAATTGAATTCTAATTACGGTACTGTCTTTTTGTTATCTTTATGAGGTTTACTTGTCGATAGAATACGGCCTGTTCACATCATAATGATTATAAACTATAAAAATGATATTTTGCGATTAAAATTACTTTATATCTGAATGCAAAACAAATTTCAGCACCTTCGTATGTTTATTTTACCAATACTGCGCTCTATGGACCTTTATATTTTTATTTCACATGACACAAAGTGTCGCCATCTAGTGTCGAATATATTTAATTATATTTGAAAGCCAACGCCAAGATATTTTTCTAGAACTATTTTAATAAATTAGGTGTAAAATTATTTACAAATGAAATGTGATGCCATCCATAACATCAGAGCGTCTATCTGAGTAGTTTTTACACAATAAAACACAACACTTCATCCTTTTCTTCTTAATACTACGAAAATACATCGATTTACGATTTTTTCAACACATGAGCGCACAGGACGAATGCTGACAGTATACTAACTTAAGCCACGCCCACTATGATGACGTCAGGACCTACTTAGAATCACAGTGCACAGTTGCTTATGCCGTCTCCCCTTTGTATTAGCTTCATGGGTCACACTCTCACGTACAGACTGTCACCCATGAAGCAAATACAATGAGGAGGTGTTGTATTTAGATTTCACTATGTAACAACGCGTGACAATTTGCGGGGTGAGGGGCTGTTAAACCCCGCCCATTTTACACTATCTACATCTACCGATAAATAGTAAAACTACTCGAATCGTTTCATATCGATGTTGCAATGTAGTTTAGCTATCTTGACGATAGACGGCCTGTTCACAAAATGATTATAAACTATAAATTTAATATTTTGACGTAATATTTTGACTATTAAAATTTCTTTATGTCTGAATGCAAAACAAATTGCAGCACCTTCGTATGTAATTATATAATAATATTATAATTATTTTACCAATGCTGAGCTCTACGTACCGTACGTACGTATTTTTAGTTCACAAGACACAAAGTATCAGCATCTAGTGTCGAATATATTTAATTATATTTGAAAGCCGACGCAAAGAGATTTTTCTAGAACTATTTTAATAAATTAGGTGTAAAATTACTTACAAATGAAATGTGATAAAACACAACACTTCATCCTTTTCTTCTTAATACGACGAAAATACACCGATTTGCGATTTTTAACACATAAGCGCACAGGACGAATGCTGACATTATTTATATATATTCATTATACATACAACTAAAGCCACGCCTACTATGATGACGTCAGGACCTACTTAGAATCACAGTGCACATTTGCTTATGCCGTATTTGCTTCATGGTGTCACCGCTGTGTTGTAGATGCGTTGTCACCCCTGAAGAC